GCCAGCGCCGGGGTGCCGAGGCCCGGCCTCGCCCCCGCCCCTCCTGGCTGCGCGAGGGGGACTGCCCGCGCTGCCTCGACACCCACCCGCGTTCTGAGTGTCGGAAGGACATCCGCTGCGCAAGTTGTCGTTTTTTCGGCCACATAGCTAAGCAGTGCCATCTCCCCCGTGCCGCCCCTCCCTCCGCCGACAGCCGCTCCCCCCTCCTCTCCAGCGTCGCGTCCCCTCCCTGTTGACGGACGGCGTCCGCCCTGCGTCGGCTGGCTCGGCGGCGTCCACCCGCTCCTCGTCCGGGCTGCTCACGCCCGCGTCCTCCGGGCAGGCATGCACCGCCAGCCAACGCCTCTCGTCGACTTCCCCCGCGTCCTCCGGGTGGACCGCGACGGGCCAGCTCGACGACCCCTCGCCGGCGACCACGGCACCTGCGACGTCCCCGCGCCCCTCCTCGCCTGCCTCGATTGGCTCCTCCGTCGCCACCCCGCTCTCCGGCCACCCCGCTTCCTGCCCTGCAGCGGCTGTGTGCTACCTGTCCCGCTCCCAGGAGGTCATCGACGCCGAGCGCGCTCTGGAGCGCGCGCTCCTGTTCATCATCGCGGGTCGGCGCACTGGTGTTTCTCGCGATGAGATTGCCGAGGCCCTTCGCTCCCAGTGTGACCTTGCCGACGGCGACTTCTTGCTCCATCGGCACGCTCCGGAGAACTTCCTCATCCGCTTCACTGACCCCTCGCTCCGCGCCCGCGTCGCCACCAGCCGGGTGCGCACGCCCCGCTTCCATCTCATCTTCCACCCATGGGGCCGGACCGCGGGCTCCGAGCCGGTGAAGGCGCGGTTCCTCGTCTCACTCGAGCTGTTCGGTGTCCCTGACCATGCCTGGCACCGTTCCACCGCCGAGACCCTGCTCTCCTCGTTCTGCAAAATCGAGCACCTCGCGCTAGAAACTAGGGACATGTCCGACATGTCCGTCTTCAAGCTCATGGCCTGGACCATCAACCCCGACGCGATCCCGCGCTCCTCCGAGCTGCTCGTGCAAGACGACGACGCGGTGGACCTCGACGCCAACCCGGATCGTGCGGAGCGCTTTGCGCTCGGGCTCGCGCGCTTCCCCGTGCACATTCATGTCGCCTCCTGTCTTGACTACCGTCGCCCATCTCCACCCCCGCCCTCGCCACCCTCGCCGGCGATGCTGGCTCGGGGCCGAGCTCTCCCCCGCTCCCCCATGTTGGTCGCGGCAACATGACTTCCCTCCCGCCCAACCGGACAACGTGCTCCCTCCTCCTTGCCGGGATGGCCACTGGCGTGGTCACCGCCGGACGCACGGGCCTCCACCATTCCGCGTTTCGGCTGGGATCCTGGGGCCCCACCCCGGCAGTCTCCCACCTTTTGACCGGGTCCCCCCCGTCAAAGGCTGGGCTCCCCCATCGTCACCACTCTGTCCACGCAGCTGGCCCACCCCGACAACCCACCGCCTGTTGATGCGGCCCACCCGTCCACTCATGTGCTTTCCTGCGAGACCCAGGGGGATGGAGACGTGGGTGATTTGAACGAGCCAATCACTGTCGTGCCTTCTCCCCCAAGGTCTGAGGATTGTGCCATTGTGCCCCTCCCGACCACGCCTGTCTCCAGCTGCCACCCCTCCCCGCCCTTGGATCCCGCGCCGATCCTGCTTGGCTCGGATTGGTTGGCCGGCTCGGCCTCGGATACCCTGCCTGGCGAGGCCCCAGCCTTCGATGCCGCTGCTGTCGCTGATCGGGTCCCTGGGGCCAACGTGCTTGACCCCGTCGCCTCCCCCCGAGCCCGCACCCGTCCCGTTGCTGCATAGCGCGTCCCCATGCATGGCGATCGTCCTCTCTCCTGTTGCCACCAACCCCGGCCCCAGCTTTGCCCCGCCCGATGCTACTTTTGAGGCTCAGCCACCCAACTAGGAGCCAACTACGGCTGGGATGGACGACCTAGCCATGCAGTCCATGTAGATGGCCACGAACGACGCCCCCTTGCCTCCTTTGTCGACGCGATTTCCGTCAGGGCCTCTTCCCTCTTGCCTGCTCCCAAGCCACGGTGTAGAAGAAAAGAACTGCCAGCTAACTTTACGCCAAGGCGCAGTTTTCGGATCGC